GTCGTACAACAGACGACTATGCATACCCCGACAAGCAGGAAGCGACCGATAACGTTGATGCCGCGAACATGGTCGAGCCGTTCACGCTTCCCTTGGCCTTATCCGCGAGTCGACCTTCCAAATGGCAACGGTTCTTCGAGCCGCGCTCCAATGATGCTTTGTCTTCTACGGCCGGACAGCCTCGACCTGGGTCAGCATCTACACCTCCGCATGAAGAGGGTCGTGTCGAAGCTGTCGACCCCGGACAGACCCGTGAGACCGCGGCTGGCAGTGGAAGAGCAGACCAGCAAGAAGCACAGATCGGAACGGCCGAATACGCAGAGGTCCCAACACTCATCCGTCGTTTGAACGCCTTACTACGAGGCCGCCCGGAAGAACCTCCGCCGCAGTACGAGAACTGAAGGCATCGTACCACTGTCGGGGACCTGATCTTCTAGCACCAAGCACGGCCTAATCGCATCCTTAGGATCCCGATGCCATGATCGATACCCTCAGACGATGCACCGATACATACATAGTATACGTCTACCGTTGTCGCCTGTATGTGTCAGGCCTTACTATCTATGTTCATGCCGAGCAAGCCAGGGATGGAGATCAGGAGATCAACGTTTTTCGCTTGACAACACCAAACATCTTCTGGTGCGTTGTAAATTCTGCGAGGCGGTCAAGGCGTGAGGAAGAAGGCAGACTGAAACGGCGTCGCGCAGCGGGGCCGACGAGTATAAATATCTTCGCCCACGTCCTGTATGCACAGAGACTCATGATTATCGTGTATACAACACATCGTACAGGTACCATACAGAGAGTAAACTATACACATGTACAAAACCGAGCCATCCAAAGAGTCCTAACCACACCCGCATACCGAACGAAACCTGTAACTTCATGCAATTCATCCACGGCTACATTCAATCTTGAAGCCTTCAGACGTCTTCATCACTACACGACCCCTCGCATATCAACTACAGATCCTCACGGAATCGACTGCTGGAGCGCACCTGACCGTGCTCCGTCGACGTCTCGACCTCCGCCGGTCCCGCGCCGTCCTCATCCGCCACCCGCGGCTCGCGTCCCTCAGGCGCCTTCTCCTGCTGGCGCTTGCTCAGCCTGCGACCTACGCCGTCTGCACCGGGACCTGCGCCGTCGGCGTCGGGGAGGCCGCCTGGCATACCACCTTTCTTCTCGTTCTGCATGAGGAGTCAGTTCAGGATCAAGGGAAGATGTGCGAAGGGAAGAACGCACAGTGTACCCGTTCTCCGCATGCCCATGATGCGAATAACTCGGCAGACTCTCCTCCTCCCTATCAACCCCCACATCCCTGGCCTCCTCATACAAGCCTTCCTCATCCTCATCCTCTTCTTCTTCCTCAACACTGCTCCCCTCCTCATCCGTCTCGCCCTCCTCCGTCTCGTACCCCGCCGCGCGCACCGCAGCATGCACCGGGCCCGCCCTCTCCATATGCTCGCTCGCGACGAGGTACCGCGCACAAAGCATCCTGATATCGTTCCACCACTCCATCATCTCGTCGTGCGAGCGCGCGCGGAAGCTCCACGCGTGCCCGCTGCTCGACTTCATACCCATCTTCTGGCGTATCGAGCCGCTCTTCGTCGTGCCCTGCCCGTCGCGCCCGCCCTCGATGTGGAACTTGTGGCTGCGCGCGTTCGGCGCGCTCGCCGGCCCGAGCGTACACAGGGGCAAGAACAGGCTGAACGTCGGGCTCGTGCCCACCGAAGGGTCCGAAGAAGAGAACTCGTGCAGGAACCCGGCGGCGGTGAGCACGTAGTAGCTCTCCCTGTACGTCCGCGTGAAGCGCTTCTTGCGCTCGATGTAGCCCGTGTGCACGGGCAGCACCGCGGGGTCCTCTTTCGAGGGGTAGTTGATGTGCTCCGGGTTCCGCAGCGGCGTCTCGGGGTCGAGCAGGTGGTCCGAGCGCGCGCTGAACGCGATCCACTCCTGGTCGGGCTGCAGGCTCGCCATGTGCCCGCCGAGCGTCTGCCATGTCTCCTGCACGGCCGTGGACATGCGGCTCTGCCACTCGTCGAACGTCTGCCAGGCGGACTGGATCGCGCGCACGATGCCCTCTTCGAAGTGCGCGGAGTTCTGCTGCATGATGATGATCGACTTCTGGAGCGCGTTTTCTTCGTGGACCTGTTTGGCGAGTTGGCGGGAGACGGCTGCGTTGGCGATGTAGCTGCAAGTAGAACATGAGGTTAGAGGAGTAGGCGTAGAATACGACTATGATAACGTACGGGTCGCTCTTGGACGTCACATGAAGAGGCGTATTCTTGAATACGGAGATGTTGGTCGAGAGCTCGCTGATGAGCTTACTCGACAGCTCGCGCTCCTTCGCCACGCTCGTCGCAAGCCTGCCCGTATCATTCTGAATGTTCTATACCCCAGCGTCAAATCCCGCTCCCATAACGGAAAGAAGAAAGGAGGGAAGCGAACCTTGATGTGCGCCTTGATCTCCGTCCTAAGTTTCTGCAGGTGCTGGACGATTGAGGAGTCAACGGTGCGACCCAGATTGGCGTGTTGGTCGGCAATGATCCGCGTCTTGTCCCTAATCCCATAGAATACGTCCTGTTGCCCCTATATAAGCCCCACAGTACCTGATACGCGACTGAGCTACGCACCTGCAACCCGCCCTCGCCCAAGAACTGATTACCAGACCTAAACGGCACTTGGATAACAGCGCCGAGCTTCGTCAACTCCTTCGCCGTATTGTTCTCAATGTCCGCGACACCCTGATACCGCGCACTTGACGTCAGCCCGCCGACTCTCTCATCAACAGTACAAAGTGAGATCGATCGAAGCTCACCTCGAAGTAGGCTATGAGCTGCTTGACGATCGTCTTCCACGCGACGAAGCGCTCGATGAGCACGTCGCTCGGCTTGAGATCGTTCCCGCCTTGGATCTGGCGCTTGACGAGGCTCTGGCTGCGCGAGATCGTAGAGCCGCGTTTGGAGGAACGCGAGCGCGTGGACGCCGCGCGTGAGATAGATACCGTTTCGTTATTGTTGTTCATCGCCGGACGTGAAAGTTGAGGGAGAAATTGAGGGAGGAAGAGGAGGAGGTTGAGTGACAGGAGTTTCCAACTGACGCGCCGCAGCGAATATATGAACGCGGCCACACCGACGTCATTGCTCATCTTGATTGGCCCCCAAGTTCTCCGCGCCGGAGAGACACCACGAGAGTATGTCAGCGGCTGTGAGTTAGGCTCTGCGCTAGTCTCGCCGTGAACGGGCGATATGTGGAGAGCGAAAACATGGCGGTTCCATTTTTGATACGGTTCGTAGGGTGTAGGTAGAGAGGGTAGCTACTGTACAGAGGGGCGTTTACATTCAATAAATCAGTGCGGATGAACGAAGGGGTAGGGTGAGCGGGCATATCGGTGGGGAATGGGTAAGGGGTAGTTAGGTAGAAGGCAGGGAAGGGGAGGGGATAGATGCGCAGATAGCGGGATAGCAAAACGCGTACAGGCGGCGTACAACATACAGGGCTAGACAGGACAGGGAATAAATGACAACAACAACAGCGTGGCAGTAGATCATGGGGGTATCGCAGTAGGCGTAAGCAGGATCGGAGTGGCGGAGACAGCAAGCAAAGCAGGACGACTGGGGCAGCGACGGTCATCGGCTGGCCGCAGGGCTGACGAACGCAAGCGGCACATCGCCCCCGCTCTTGCCCTCCAACCCCGGGCTGGACGACCGGGACCCCGCCTCAGCGGACGCCTCGACATCGAGCTTGACGTGCTTCCCGTCCTTATCCGTGTCCGCCCACCGCACATCATAGTCCCCGCTCTCCGACGTCCCCGCGCCGGTCGTCTGGCCCCAATAGCTGCTCGTCGCGCCCACATCGCCCCTCGCGCCGTGCGTCGTGACATGCGTAAGACGGCCCTGGTCCCGGCCATTAACGCTCGAGTTCGCGCCCCATCTTATCGTCGTCTTGCCCCCTCCGTTCCCATCCCGATCCCGCGTGATAGTCGGGAACATGCTGCGGAACCGCATGCCCGTGCTCTTCCAGTGCCGCCCGTCGTTCGCGCTCTCGTCGCCCTCCGTCGTGTTGCCCGCGGACGTGCGCGGCGTGCCGAAGGGTATTTTGCGGAGGACTGCGGTGGCGACGACGGGCAGGTTCGCGACTGTGAGCGACATGCAGTCTTCGACGACGGCCGAGATGAGGACGGAGGTCGTGCCGTCTTTGATGATGTATGCCGCATGTACGAGCGACACGAACGTCGTTACAACTGTGATAACGCACATATCAGTGTCGAATGAGAGCGACTGACGGACGGGAGAGAAGGACTCGGACGCACTGGCGGTGGAAAAGATGAACATGAGCCGCCGGCGGAGCGCGCGGTCCGTCATGCCGTAGATGAGCCGGATGGGGAGCGTGATGAGCAGCAAGTCCGCGATGACGTCCGCTGTGTGAGATCGTGAGCAAAAGCAGGCGCTAGACGGTTGATGAACAGAAGAGATAGACGCCCGACCCGCTCCCGCGCTGTCAGACGCGCTCGTTCTCGTACACACGCGCTAAATCGTGATGGGCAGAGCGCGGGACCGAGCGCGGACGGTCGCCTATCATGCGAAAGCCGTACCACACCCTCCCCTCCCAACAAAAAATGATAAGGACAGGCAGCACTCACAGACGACCTGGCAAATGACGACTTGAAGTCCTAGATGGCACTGCGGGCTCGGCAGATTCTTCCACTCGTGGCCTTTGGGCTCGCACACCCAGAATAGTTGGGCGAGGAAGAAGAGGAGCGCGGCGATGAAGATGGCGGCGACCCATTTGAGGCGGTATTGCCAGCGCGGGTCGGGGTCGATGCGGATGATGGAGAAGAGGATGCTGAGGCGGGCTGACCTGTATGATGGCATGAGTGACTCAGAGTAGAGGGATATGTATGAAGGGGACGGACCAGATTATGCAGTAGAATGTCGTCGCGAGGAGGTAGTACGCCGCTACATGGCCCGACTTTGGCAGGTCCGCTACATGCGACCGCACGTCAGTCCTTGACACTTTCGGTCAAACGTCGAATACACGCACAGTAGTTATCGACATGTAAGAACGCCGCGGCGATCTGCAGCAGGACGCTGAGAGAACCGGGCGCGCATTAGTGCTGGTTTGGTCTGACTGCCGGAAGCAAGCGGGGTAACGCACAAGACGAAGCTGAATATAGTCCATGCGTCGTCCCACCATAACCTCGTCCTCCGAATATACAACCTCACGATAGTCATGCATATCGCCACGAACGCGCACACGCTCTCCGTCACTGTCCGTCCTATTCAGCACCCTAGACCTCACACCAGGCACACTCCGCAAACGCACCGCGGATGTCGATGTTCGCCTCGTGTATGCTGACCATAACTGGTAGCAGGGAGTGGAGAGAGGCGACAGAGGACGGAGTAGGAGTAGGAGGGAGGAGTAGATCCGGGGTGAGCTAGAGGAGTAGCATGCTCAAGTATCGGGTGCACGAGGGCGCGCGAGAAGAACGCTGCGATGCGAGTCGGACACCCGGTCGATCTGAAGATCTGATATCGAAATCTAGCTAGGGCAGTTCTCACCGCTCCTCCACCAGCACATACCACTTTCCATTCTTGGCCTCTGCGTGCATCCTAACTGTTTACGGTCTGCGAGGATCTCTTCACTCTTGTCTCGCCGGTCTATACTCTACGCAGACGGTGAAATGCTACTAGATATGCCCGACGAGGCATGACAACTCCGATCCCTAGAGACGGTCCCTGCCCGCCTCCGACCTTACCTCGTCATGCCTGCATGTCAATGATCATATGCGCACTTCTCTGTTCTCACCATCGGCGCACGGCTCCGGTGGTACGTACAGCCTCAGCCAGTGGTCTTGTGTACACCTTCTTCTCTTCGATTGACGAACTCAACTTTAGAACTGCCTCGCGTTTGGCCGGATTTGGGCTTCTGTGCTTCGCTTGCGCTGATGTCGCACTAGGGTGGCTGATCGCCGCGATTCGACTGCTTGGCCTCGACGACGACGACGGGGGACACGACCTGCAGTACGCACTGGCCAGGGAGGATGATCTTACGGGGTTTCAGGTTATGCTCTATGGGCGCTCCACGCACGGTTGAGTTTACCTGAGCGCCTTGGCCGGCATGATGCATGCGGACATCGTGGCGCACAAGCGCTCATCTCAGGCTATGCTCGTCTCGGAGCCGCCGCGGCTTACATAGCTGGACGCTTCTTCCCTCCTTGATCTTCTCCTACATCTTCATGATGAACAATCGTCTGGCAGACGCAGGCGTACTCAATCAAGCATAGTAGTGATCACCCAGCAGCTACGAAGACGGACACTCGACCTCGCCGATAGAGCCTGCATTCAGCAGTCGACCGGCCCTGGCTCTCACATCTGTCGTTAAGCTCTTCTACCGTCAATGATCCCTACTCGTCCATCTGTATCACCCAGACGTGTGCGCATGGAGGCTCTCGTCAACTTTCAAGCCGCATACATTCGCTGGGCACCCTCTTCCGAGCCTTCGCCGGTACTCTATGCTCAGTTCCCGCCGGCACTCTATGCTCAGGCCCGAGTTCTGTATAGGTTGTTGTCGGCGAGGTTGAGGGTGGCGCAGAGCTTTCAGATAGACTCGGTTGGAGGCTGTAGGACGCGTCTTCTCGCGTGCCACAAGGGTTTGGAGGCTATGCCTGTTCGTATGACGCACCCGCGCTTTGCCGCTAGTCGAACGATGCTGCGAAGCTTTTGGACGATATTGGGCTAGTCCCGCTGCTGCATACTTATACCTGGTTTGTGAGAGGAGCATTGATTCGCACGTAAGCCAGCTCACGTACAATCAGATGTTGCGTACACGTGTTCTGACACCTGTATATCACTACTTTCGCAGGCCATCATACAACTGCGTACTCGTCATGACCATAAGTCATGGCACACCCTCGTCTGGCGAAGTTCATCGGTATTGCTGATTTAAAAATATTTGTGGAGCATCAGACTATAGACAATAGCTCGTATATACATATCTGAGCATCCAAGCGCTATTGACGTACACTGAGGGCCCAGGTACTGGCGTCCTCCCACATGTTCCCACGGCTCGCCTGACAGACACTTGTGGTTTTCTCGCCTCTGTAGCTTTCCCCACTTACAAGTACAAGCAGCCAGCTGAGGATAACACGGATCAGTACCTCATGTAGGACTTGAGGTAGTCTTACTTGTGCGAGACGTCTATGGAAGCGAGATTTCGGGTTTTCAATGGCAAACCCAATGGGATGTGCCACTTTGGAAATATCCCGATACGTAGTGCTCTCCAGGGTCCTGCAGATGGAGATCAGGTATCGAATACTTTCAGGAACCTTCAGTAATATTTTGATCGAGTGAATGTCTGTACTGACTACCGCGAGTGCGGGTGTGCCATGACTTATGGTCATGACGAGTACAACGGCTCTTGATCTTGAACGACCATCTACCGCACACCGCGGCCAACTTCGCTTCCAATCATGACAGCGGTCGCGACCCGCCTGCGCCAGGCAATGCGGCATAATCTGCGTACGCTCAAGTCGCGACCACTCCTAGAACTTTCGGGCGCGATGGGCACACTAGGCGTATTCCTCCCCTCTTTCGCAACGATGGTGGGCAACCGCTCGACCCACCTCTCCTCAACACTCCTGTTCACTGGCTTATTCAACATCATATTAGGCGCATTCTTCGGTCTTCCCATACCCGTCCTGCCGATGGGTTCAGCAACCATCCGATGGTACTCACACCTAGAAGACACGATGTTTCTCTCCCTCGGAGTCTCCATCTACCTCTCCATCCTCAGCGCGACCGGCTTTCTACGCTGGCTGAATCGCATCACCCCCATACCCGTCGTCAAGGGCGTACAAATCAGCACCGGACTCCTAATCATACTCTCCGCAGGCGAACACCTGTTGCAACCGCTTCATTGGGACGTATACTGGCCTGAGACGTCCGTCGTGGATAACCTGTACTGGGTTCTCGCGGCTTTTGTGGCGCTCATCGCGTGCGAACGAGCGCCGCGCGTGCCATACGCGTTGATCGTGGTAGCCCTTGGCCTCGTCCTTGCAATAGGAAACAGCCCGCTATATGAGCCACCGTACCGTGGCAAACCTCTATCTGGGATGTTCCCAATCATCATCCCACTCTGGATCAAAATCGATCATATCCTCTTCGACAATGCCCTGTCCGAACTTCCACGGACAATCCTCACCTCCATAATCGCAACCTCACACCTCGCAGAAGACCTCCTCCCAGACTTGAACCCATCCACATCTACATCCGCACCGACCGCGACACAACTTGGCGTATCCATCACAGCGATGAACTTGCTCGGATGCTGGTTCGGCGCGATGCCTACGAATCTCGGCGTTCAAGGTCTCGCGGCGCAGTACCGCTTCGGCGCGAGGACCGGTGCTGCGAATATCATCCTTGGCGTTTCAAGCCTGGTTCTGGGCGTCGTGGCCCTGTTCAGCGGCCGAGACGTGTCCTACCTGCTGGCGTGCATACCGAAGGCCTTTTTGGGCGTTATGGCGGTAGCAGTGGGCGTCCATCTGGTCAAGACAGCCGAAACTCTGAACACGAGCGCGCGAGATCTCTGGGCACACGATGACGATGCCAGTGCGAGGCCCGAAGCCGGTGGGACTAATAGGAAGCTGCGCGAGGTTGGCGAGCAAGAACAGCGCGAGCGATGGGCGCTCGTGCTCGTTACTGTCGCTGGATCGCTGGCGTTCAGGAGCGAGACCACGGGATTCGTTGTTGGGATGTTGTGGCGCTGGGGCTCGAAGGCGCAGATACGCTTACCTCGGTGGTGGACCAGACGTACTACTACGCGCGATTCGGAGGAGACGCGGGGGTTACTCGACTCTGAAGTATCGCATGAGGACCGGCAGTGAGGTTGAAGATACGACGTTGGGGCGGGGACGACTCTACGAGTACCGTAAGTATGCCCTGATGTAGGAT